TGCTGTTTTGTTCCCAGCGTTTTGGGAGGGAAAGGCAGCCCAGCCGGTCGAAATAATAAGCTTGCTTTAATTTGATTTTAATTGGAGTCAGTGGTCTTTTCTTGCATCCTGGTCTAACAACACCGTTGTCCTCAGAGATGTGGACATCTGATTCAGGTGCTGTCCCTCCCGTGATCCAATCCACACCACAACAGGAGGAAGACGGGTGAATCTCTCCTTGTGGAGGTGCAGGGGTTGGGACTCAGGGAAGGAGAGGGATATGCTCAGGTCACATGTGTGCAGAGGTTGAGCTGGACCCTCCCCCTGCCCATAGCCCTCATGAGTCACCCCAGGGCCCCGCTCTGCTCCTTGTTCCTCACCTCTGTCCTCACTCCCAGCAGTACACCCAGGGCACCTCACTGTCACCAAACAGGACTTCTTCTTTTCCTTTTCCTCTTCCGGCCTCATCTCATGAATGAGATCTCCTCCAACCCCTTATTCAAGGTTCCTCAATACCAAAAGAGGGGTCCCTGTACATCCTCCTCCTGCCCCATACTCTGCTCAGCTCTGTTCCACAGCCCACACGTCCACCACCTCCAGTCACAAAGTCCAGTTCCTGCAGACCCCAGAAGTCTCTCCTGATCCTTCCCTCCTCCACCTCCTGTCTACTAACTTAATTCAGGGAAGTTCCCTTTCTGCTTCCACGACCCCCATAGCCTCCTGCCAGCTTCCCCACCTCCTGTCCCTGCTGCCACATACCCAGTCCCCAGACCACATGCCCTTCCTCACCAACACTTCCTCCCTCCCTCCCCTCCCTGGGTTCTGCCCCCAGGTCCACCCAGGGCCTCGACCTCCACTCACCTCATGCTCCCTCTGGCCTCTGCTCTTCTGCACCCCTGGGTCTCCCTGCCCCAACCCCCTCCCCATGCCCACTCCCCCTCTTCCCATTCCCATCCAGACTCCTTCTCACCAGGCTGCCCTCACTGCCCTTCTGGCTCAACTGGCCCTCTCTGGGACCTAGAACCTGGACCCCATCGTGCAAGGAACAGAATGGGCCACAATTCCCTGTGCCTGTCTGAGCTTCTTCCAGCATCAAGGAGAAAACATTCTGAGGGCTTGACCTCCCTCCTTGCATCTCCAAGATCCATCTCAGGGCCTGACTTGGACTGCAGCAGAGCCAGGCCTCCTGTCCACCACCTGCTACCCTCAGCCTGAGACAGCCTGTCCATCAAGCCACAGCAAGGCTGAGACAGCAGGAAAGAGTTTCTCTTTCATCTTCTATCACCCAAGGTCATGGCCAGGGCACTGTGAGCAGAAAGGAGCTGAGCTCTGAGGTTGAGCCTCTGCCTCCATGAGGACACAGGGCCGGGGATTTTTCTGGGGACAGGGCAACACAACTCTCACATCCTCCCTTTTCCAAATTATAAAACATGTCCTCCAGGAACTGTTCCATTTCTTATAATTATAAGAACCTGGTTTCTCCCTTTTCTAATTACCATGATAGGGCTGAACTCAACCCTGCTTAGAACTTCTCTAACAGAAAGTCACAGCTTCTGAGACGAAACACTTTGTGGATCACAGGGTGAGGCGAGAATCACCTTGAACTGGGAGGAAAAGACTATGGAAGGAAGAAGAGGGACAGGGGTGTTCTGTGGGGCTTGGAGAGACCCAAACTCTCCTCACAGAGAGGCAGGCAAGGAAGAAGCTCACCAGCCAGAAGCCCAGAATGCAGGCTGAGTGTGGACGGAGTGTGAGCCCAGCCCCCAAGGCCCAGATACATGCCTTCTACAGCAGGGACCTGTCTCCCTTCACAGGCCACTCTCAGTGCCTCCCCTCCCCAGCCCAAGACCCGTACTCAAGCCCCATGGACACAGAAAGGAGATGTGCCTTGGAAAGAACCCATTGTCTCCCATGGAAAATCTCTTTCATATAATAGTAGAATTTTTGTAGAGGCTTTCCTAGTCCAGGCTAGCACAGCTGCACACAATAGCATACAGGAGTCATTCTAGCAACTCAGGAGGCTAAGGGAAGTTTGAGGCCAGTTTGAGGCCAGCCTTGGCAATTTAGGAGGAACGTATCTCAAAATAATGAAAACTACACAGTGCTGGGTCTGCAGCTCCTTCATGCAGTGCCCAGTGTTCCTGGCAGGCTGGGCCTGGGTTCTGACTCTGCCCCATTCTCTGCCCAGGAGGAGCACACTGGCCCCCTGGCCAGCTCAGCTGCTGTAGGCATCAGCTGGGCACAGGCAGCATTCCAGCTGGACCCACCTTGGTTGCTGACTCCTCTCCCGTGGCTCCTGGGCCTGAGTTTCTGGCACTGATCACACTGGATTAGCTGAAGAGCTAAACATCCCAGCACAAGGACTGTGGTCTTGCATTCATCACCACCCTGCACACCCCAAGTTGTCCCTCACCTGCCATCCCTTTGGCCATCAGTGCCCCCCACCCAGCCTACTGCTCAGGACATGGGGCTATGATATTGTTAAAAGTGGCTGGCACCCACCCATCAGCAAAATGATTCCCCCTGGTTCACTGTCATCCACCCAAAGATGTGGGGACTGCCCATGAGGCTCTGGACATTGGTATCAGCACTTGCTTGTTTCACTTTCTCTCCTTTCCCCCTGACACTTGGGGATTTTTGAATGTTCCCCTGACCTGAGGGAATCAGCTGAACCTACCCCCACTCTCTCCCTCCAGAATGAGGTTGGGAAAGTCCGTAAGGAGGGTCCCACGCAAGCCCCAGGACATTGGCATGGAGATGCTGAGAGAGGCCC